CTCAGAAGTGATTCCGGAGATCTTCTCTTCCAGATGAAAACTAGGCTTTATCGGTAATTCAAATTTATCTTGGAATACAATACAAAATGTAAGTTATTCCAACAAACTCGCCTATTAGTCGAGAAAATTAATGTGAGAGATGAATCAGCAATGGATGGTCACTGTTTACATTCTTATTTACATTAGCATGACACGTGCCATTTGCCTTTGGAAAAATCTGGGCTCGAATCCTAATCGAATTTCCAGACATTTTCATGGATGTTCGCTCCTCATTGCAAATCTTATCGATTTATATTTATGTCTGTATGGGTGTCTGCAGAGGAGACACTTGCTCTACACTTGCTCTTCCCCATAATCGAGTAAAAAAATTCCACAAATTATAATGGTAAAAGTGATTGAAATACGTAACCTGACACTCTCGACCAATGGGACCCTTTTTTTGTATGAAAACTTAAAAACTTGTTTTTTTTTTTAATACCAGTAAAACAAAAAGACTAGTTTAAAATATTCACTGTAAAAATCCATTAAAAATAATGCAAAATACCAACGTATACAATGCAAATTATTTTTGAAATTATATATTATATAAATGAAAAATGACTTGCATATTTCAAAATTATTCTGACTTTTACTGTTTCTAAAAATAAAAATGTCTATAAATTTTCACTTTAATAAAATACCTATACATTTAATCTTATTAAATATTAATACTTTGGTTATCTCATCAAAAACACTATTACAAGAAAATCCTGAATTACACATTTATTTCATAAAAAAGTAAGGAAATCTCTGTTTTCAATCAAGTCTGCAGTTGGCAATATGGAAGCGTGCTGTCTGTCTGTTTGTATACGGCAACACAACACATAGGCGATCTGCCGAGAGGGAATTTTCTAAGAGAAATTGCCTCTATTTAAGTATTACAAACGTAAAGAAAACTCAGAAAACACGTAGCCAACCCGTTGACCATGCCCGAACCCACCGACCGAACTCCCAGTGTTCAGGGTACGAAGACCGCTCGACCACTTGATGAACCCTTACAATCAATCGTGTTCCTCGTCGAATAAAAAAAAATTCTATGGAGATTGGCTAAGCACTGCCAACGATAAATAAGCATAACCGATCTTTTTTCAAATACCAACGCTCTGCGGATCGTCTGTTCGAAATTTAAATTTAAATTAAACTCCACCAACACTACACGACCTGTGAACAAAACCGTATTATACGGATCAAATGTAACTTATAAAATTTAAACGTTTGTTCACGATCGATTAGTATTTAATGAATAATCAATATTACTCAACTGTATCTACTGTTCGACGTAAAAAAAATCTCATTTTCAGTCACTTACCTTATATTTGTTTGAATTATGGGAATAAATGTCAGATTTACTTCTAAAACATGAATATAAATTTATGTTTCTTTAATTATAAACAAATTTAATTGCATAATTAGCAAACTCGTCATGAGAGGGAACAACAAGATTATTTAATTCCTGTTTTGGAATTAAATAATCTTGGGAAGAAGAGTCAGGGGATAGATTGCAAGACGACGGAAGAGCTAGCCTCATAAAGGACGGCCGGAAGTTATAAGGTACACGAAGGGAGATAGAATGCCTTCTGGGAGGACTTTTATGGGAAGCTGGACCCTATTTAGGCGTCATTTACAAGGAGAAAACCCTAAGCTTCTAGCCTGTCCGATCGCGGCGCGAACCCACAACCGAACTCCCAGTGTTTAGGGTCTAGTCACCGCCACTATTTATGAGCGGAGACGGAGTCCGTTAGGCCACTGGTGGGCTAACGGGTTAATAATTGTTGCAGACAATTTAAATCTCACATAATGTTAAGTTAAAGAACTGTGCCGAAAACTTATTACATGCTAAAGAAATTAAATATACTGGCACCTCCTTTTAAGACCTATAAATTTACAATTCCACTCCGTTAACGGGCGGATGGCCGAGTGGTTAAAGTAGAAACCTTCCACTCTGGGGACCCGAGAACCATACCAGATGAGTAAAAAACCCCAGGAATTTCTGGGGGTTGGTCCTTCCTCACATATCGTACTCCTGATCCTCATCACTCGGTTTGGCCCACGTTATTAATGGTAAAATTAATTTAAAAACTTTTATATCAATTATTTTTTTATCTTAATACAAATAACAAGAGGATCGTTTTTATAGGAAGAAAGTAATCATATATACTTTATCCAAGCTTTCAGATTTTCTTGGTTATATAACAAAGAAAAAGTATGGCGATGGGTCAGAAAATGACCCCAAGGGTTTCACATTTTTGGACTCGGGGATCTTAAAACGTCGAAAAATACAACACTTATCAACAATGCTTTACGTAATATCCTATTTAAGAATAATCTTTTTGTACTTTTATAAGAAAGGTTTACACAGACAATTACTTTTTTTTTTAAATTCAAATATGGCAATTCGTCAAGTCTGTCCAAGGACACGTTCTACTTTAAATATCAAGTACATATTTAATTAATACACACAAATTATATTTTAAAAACTAGTCGTTTATGCCAAAGGCAAAACTAATTAAATTCGTTTTTAATTAATCAAAACACGTCTTGATTGATTTTATAATCTAAATAAACACAACAAATCTAATTGGAAAACCGTCGTTAAGCAAGCTTCGTCGTAAATCGAGCTTTAATTTCCCGTAGGCTCAATGTTGTAAATTGAGGTTATGTTCCTAGAAAGAATTTCAACTATATAATATTAAACATAAGTGACTAACAAAAATAGTTGACATTTTGTACAAACTGTGAAGACAGACAAACGAATACGATTCCATAAAACTTTTTAGAGTTATTGTAAGGTTGCCTACGGGGGGGTGGTCTCACATTATGTCTTTTTACTTTCATGTCTGTTATATAAAACAGAGAGAAAGTATGGCGATCGGTAAAAAAAACCTCCTCAAGATTTTTACATTTTGACTGGGGGGACTTTGAAACGTTGAGAAATGCAAAAAATTCGGATGTTTCTCGTGTGTTTTTTGGTTGTTAGTGTGTGGGGATTTTGTTCACTTGCTTTGAAGTGTAATAAATCCTGTACCTTTTATCGAAAACCTCTGAAATTCTGCAGAGAAATTTCTGTATTAGGAGCATGGATACTATTAAATTTTGATATTAAAAGGTCGAGAGGATGAGAAGATAGATGGGATCATATGACGTATCTCGTGTGGGATCGAACTTAATAAAAATCATACTTGGTATTGGCATTTACAAATTTTTTAAATATAACTCATATCTACCATTTTATAATAATTAATAATATAAAAAGTTTTTCAAATAAAATCGCATAACAGATGACTCATTATACAAATTTAACTTGTTTTGCTGGGAAAGTTATGCAACTCGTTACTGGATTTTTTACATATTTTTCGATTTTTTAAGACCTAGACAAAGTATTTTAAGCAATATTATAAAATAAAAAAATAAAGAATTATCTGATAAATGTATAATTGATACAAATTCTAGTAGTTTATATTGTAAATAATATATTATCTTTCTTTTAGAAAATATCGTGTAATTTTATAAATCATTTGAATATCTAATAATAGAAAGTACACGGTTCACGTACCATAAATTAATTCAAAATATCATTTTATTTGTAGTAGAGATTCCACTGAAATTCTACTAGATACTACGATATACAAATAATTCGTTACAATGCAGTCGACCCCCCCTAAAACACTGTTGATTATTCCAGGGGGGTCGACTGTTGATTATTATAGGGGGGTCGACTGTAATTTTATCACAGAATTTTGAAGTTTGAATTTTGAATTTTAAAGATGAGTTTTATAATTTTTTTAATGCTAATAACGAGTAAAATCTTCATTAAGTCCGACCATCATACGAGATATGTCACATGATCGTCTCTATCCCCCCACCCTCTTGACCTTTAACCACCAAAATTTAATAGCATTAATCCTTTTAATACTCAAACCTCCCCGCAAAATTTCAGAAATTTTTGACAAAAGGCACAGGAGTTATTAGACTTCAAAGTGATTGAACAAGACATTGCCTCCCACACACATACAGAAAAAATACAGAAAAAAATCCCTAACTTTTTTGTGTTTCTTGATGTTTCAAGGTTCCCCGAATACAAAATTATAAAAATTTTGGGGTCATTTTTGACTAATTGCCATACTTTCTTTCTGTTTTATTTAACAGCTGGTAAGGAAAAATAGGCATCTTCTATACTTTTTATACACTTCAATAGAAATTCTCCTTTCTTGTTTACCAAAAATCTAGGAAAGAAAAACAAATTAAGAATATTCTGAATGACAGTTATAATTCATTAGGACAGTAAAACAGAAACAAAAATCCCTAATCGATAAGAAAATAATTTGGATATTTTTCTTGTATTGATCTGAAATGAAGTTATATCAGATTATTGCTTTTAAATTATATAACTTTTGACTGTTATGAAATGCCATAGATTTTTATTAGCTTTTGGGAACTTCAGATACAATATAATTTGAACTATACTTCAAATTATACTGTATTTCAAACTACAAATATAATAGTATACAAGAAGTGAATATAAATATATTGTGACTGTGAGAAATTAAGAGTTTTATTTACGACGGTTTCCAGGAATCAATTAGGTCTTAAAAAAGTTCAACTTTATTCACTTTTGATATACAGTAAGTTACTGTAAATTGATAGTTAAGAACTAAATAATTATTTTCTAGATGTTTTACGAAATTATTTTAATTAAAGCATAAACATTAATATATTTTATAGATTAAATGATAAATATATTACAATTGTATTTAGAATTTTAAAAATTATATTTTGTAAACAAACACTTCACATTTTAAAGGGTTTTCTTTTACATATTGATGAAATACAATAAGTTTTAGCTGTCATTTGATCTTTCCTTACTACTAAAGTTCATTTTATCGCATTTAAAATTTAATATTATCATTCACAATTAAATTTCAATTCGGAAAAATGTAATTTTTTCTTCCTTATTGCACATATCATTCTGTAGCAGTTGCATTGTTAGTACTATTGACAGACTGATCTACTAAATGTTGTATAACCCTCATAGCTTGAGGATTCAATTGAATTACAATAACCACATAAGTAGTTAATGCTGCTGTAACCTGAAGGATAAAGCTTCTATTGATAGTGAAAAAATTCCATCCACTCAGTCCTATTGTAGGTGCTGTGAGGCGCGATATCAAAAACTGAGCCTCTAGTTTGTTATCCATATCGAGTCTTAAACGATGAAGTGTAAGATTATGCACAGTAGGAAGTGCTGCATGAGCTTCTAAAGATACACCAGATGCAGTGATACAAGTTCCTAAGAAACTTAACATGGAGTATAGAACTCTTAAACTAAAGTAAAATACATCGTTTTTTGCTTCATTCTTCAAAAGAGTTTCATCTGTGAACAGTTGAGTAATGTCTAAACATACTGTAACTAATAGAAACAGATACCAAAAGAAAACTATTTTACCAAATATGGTATCCACTTTAGCAACTATAGAACATAATTTCTCGTGGAAACTTCTAATGCTAGAGAAATCGGTTACAAGAATTGGTAGAGAATTGAGTTCGTTAATAATATTATTATGTTCTCGATAGGATTTTCTTAACAGAATACAAAACGACATAAACAGTATAGGAATAAATACAATGGCACCGTGAATAAAAAATATTTCCATACTCCATATTACAGAAACGAAGACGTAAATGGCCGTAGTCGATAAATTATTCGGAACGATCCCAAAGAAAATAGATTGAAAATGATGTTCTGGCATATTATCTAATATAAGCAACATAGAAATCCAACGAAGAAGTATATATACCCATCCAATCGTAGTTAAAATTAATATTTGATGACTTACCGAACGTAAATTTTGTTGTTTCCATGCAAGATTTTGCAATGTATTATCCAATTGGTCCAAAACTCGCGACATATTTGAAACATCGTGAGCAAGAAAAGCCGATGCTAAACAAGCGCTGATAGTTGCCAAAATGACTGCTATCTGATCCAATAAATGAGTTGGAGATAATCCTAAAATAACAGAAGTCAATTCTTGTCCTAGATAAAGAAAACGAAATAACATAATACTCAAACTCCATATTCCATCGCTATATCTACAGAACCAAATATCTTTAGGTACGTGAACTCCGACAATTCTTAAAGATAATAGAACAGGTTTTAATGTAGAAGAATATAAAGTCTTAGTCCTTTTATCTTTCATCTTGGTTATTATACTATTTTGATTACGATTCTGTAGAGAGAAACGATACATGACTGTCTGTTTGGTAACGTATTAACTTCTGCAATATATTTCCAATCCATTAAGAAGAGAACTCCTAAAAGTATTTACTTTGCATCTTCGTTTAGAAAAATAAAACAAGAGTATTGACTGTATTTAATGTATACTCAATCGATCAATTCGGAAAATCGAAAATGTTTGTTTTAATCTTTCTCTTTAATTGAAAAGTTATTTATAACTTACATTTTCGCTAAATTAATTCTTGAAATGTCCTTCTACTTAGAAGATGTAGTACTTCTGTTTGTCTTGTACAAGTCCACCCCCCTCCCCTATAAAACTGTTGATAATTCCGTTTTATATGAATTCCACGTTGTACGAGTCACTTAGATTTTACAAATACGTGAGCCATTTACAGCCCGGCACACGTATTTGTAAAATCTAAGTGACTCGTACAACGTGGAATTTATATAAAACGGAATTATCAACAGTGTTATAAGGGGATATAAAAAATTAAATTGTTACAATCTTCATTTTTTACGGTAAACTTTACAAAATTCTGTATCTAATTATTAGGAACAATGACCCAAATTTTTAAATTTCAAAATAACTTTTTTCTATACAAAAGATTTCTCATTTACACACTTTTCTATAGCCGTAATGAACTAAGTTACGCCCTTCATTGTTTAGCATTACGTAACTTCGCTCGTATAAAAGATAAAGTGTAATTTAACCAATAGTAAAATTGATAACATTTTAAATTGCTTTTTGAAATTTTGTATTATAAGATTTGATTTGTGTTAAATGAATTTTTCAGTGATTAACCCATACAAATACGCGTTGACATTCATTTAAAATTCGTAAATTATTATTATTTTTTTTAGTAAAATTAAGCTTTATTTTTAAAGTAAATGATGCGTTATAATAAAATTAAAATAATATATATAAATTAATGCAATATTACATAGTTTATTAAGTTACTGAAGGACTGAACTTGAAACAAAAGGACCCGGGTTTCCTATTTAGAAATGAAGTATTAGCGGGTTTAAATAAAAATAGATTAAATTAAATTTTAAGAAAAAAATTATGTAAACCTTAATTTTAATTTAATTTACTCAAAGAATTTTATAATTTATTACAATTAAATTCAAAATAGGTTATATTTGTAGGCCGGATGGTCGAGCGATCAAGGTGGTAGCCTACCGCTCTGAAGGACCCGGGTTCGTAATCCGGACTGATTGAAAAATCCCCAGGGGGTTGTCCGTCCGGGTATGTCGTGCCCCTCCCTCATTCCCCGGCCGCCACATTATGGGCCTACTAAAAGAGGCCCTCTTAGTGTCTATAGGGCGGAAAGAGTAAAAAAAAAATATATAGATTACGCAAATAAAAATTTTAATTTATTCGCTGATTCCAGAAATCAATAAATAATATCCACAGGATAAAAAAACACAAAAAGAAAATAACATTTCGATTAAAATAATAAGTATTTTTAATTAAAATAACAACATCCGTTACACTTTTTCGTATACAATCGACAAACAGCCGATTACACTACCGTATCAAACTACAATATTCTCTTCAAGGTTAAATTTTATATACCGTAAATAATAATAATAATAATAATAAGCAATTATTTCTTTTCGTAATTCAATTCCGTAATATTTTACGGTAGAAAAACGTTACAAGTTCGATCCCATTAAGGTCAATGCGAATTTATTTCCAATTTCAGACGAGAGGGGGCGTCGTAGACGTCAGTGAGAAAATGGTGGAAGTTAGGTTGCATTTCAATTATGTACTGTGTCATTAAGTGGTTTGTTGATTATTATAGGAGTTATGATTCGTGTTTTTAAGATGCTGAGAAGGCATTTTACTACTTGATGGCCGAAAGAAAGTTTACAAGAGGCTTGAATAAGCCCGGTTCCGCTGCTCAGGTCAGAGAGACTGTATCTCAGGCAGTTAGAGAAACCACTGTTTGGGTGAGTTACATTTGTTTACATGCAGAGAATCCATGTTTAGTTTATAAGTTAATATACGATCGAGATATTATCAATAAATCTCTCGACAGTACACTTATACACATATAAACTACACTTTACCAAGAAAATTGAGTTTATTCACATTATTAAATGATATTTCAATATATATACGTTATTATATAATCACCCAATAGAGTATAATGTGGGGAAGAATCTCCTCACATTATACTCTATGACATGCATTAAAAGACACAGTCTTACTTGCTTTTAAACTGATTTATTCAGTGTTGTATGAAATATATACTGTCATATACACACTATTATGATTGCCTGTTCTAGGAAGGAATCATTAAACAATGGCCCATTTGAACTATCTCAAATAGGATGTGATGAATGGCACTTCCTTCTAATTAGGTTCGGGATGAAATTTAACTCGAATAAGCGTTTTATTGTTTAAAAACTAGTTTAAATTTCGGTCCGATCTGTTTTCTTTTCTTCTTTTCTTTAGTCGACTACGGTAAAAATTATCGGCCTTTTAGGAATAAGATTTAATTATTTTCGAGTGACCCGTTATCTTCGAAATAAACTAAAGAATAAATAAATGAGCTATCGTATTTAAATTAATGAACGGTAAGTATTAAATATAAATACGACAAATAGTTATCGGATTAAATTGGATTATCGTACCGCTATTATTATTAATTCAATTACTGTATAAATATTTTGGTACTATAGATAGGTGTTAGGTGCCATCTCTTATTAAATTTAATAATTATAATTAAATTAATATTTAATAAAATAATTTAGAATCAACCCGGAGTGGGACTCGAACCCACAACTCCCACTTACTGTACGGATGTGTTGCCGGTTACGCTACCCAATTCTCTGTCCGAACTTCCCTTCCAGACGTATTTAATGAAGATATACTAAATAAGATTACTAAAATGTTGAGCTTTGGGGTGTTTACATATAAATATGTAATGCAAACTAAAGCTGAAATCATGTTACTGAATAAAAGTCTAAATGTCAGGTTATATTATAGTTAATTTAGCCATTATATACTTTTTTTTTCCCCTAAAAGTGTCATTTTTAAAATAAGAATATATGTCCAGGATTTTAATAAATGAGAATAAAATGCTGACATTTTTTGTCTATTTAAAATAATTTTATAACACTGCCAGTCAGGTTGCCACACATACCATAATTTTTCAATTGTTTTTATATTAAAATCGTGTTGTAATAATACCTAATTATACTGTAATTTCAGAAATTAAAAAACCATGCTTATTTCTTAGATCAGCATTACAATAAATGTTAAAATAGCGAACACAACTTAAATAACAACTCTGGCTTCCATGTTTTTCTTATTATTATTCTATTAAATCTTTATAATAAGCTAAAATTTTGCATGACTTGTGTATTGTATTAGCAATAAAATAATGTTTATTACATCTGTTATTTTGATGCTAAATTAAGAATTACTAAAAATGTTTCTATTTTTATCATACATTTTGTGTATTTTTGATGTCTACTCTCTATATATAAAATACTTAGCTTAGGGTCATTGTGACATGTTTTCTGTCATGAAAAAAAAATAGAAATAGCAGCACTATAGAATTGATGAATTGTCATGAAATTTTTGAATAAGTGGATGTGGAAATAAGTGAGTGAGTGACGTCCCTAGTATCATATTTATGTAAATTTTGAAAAGTTGGCCTAATTTTATTCTGTTATATCAGCTAGTAATAGCAATTTTGAATGAATATTCTCATTCATACTGTTACTGTAAACCAAAAAGGTCTAGTACAGAGGTCGATATGACGTTGAGAGGGGTCAATAGAAAGAAGTTAATTAAAAATCACTAATATAATAAATAACTAAATATAATCCATTTGTTCAAACTCACAGTTAAAAGTTGAGAAATTCTCGAAGGGGTCAACTGTCAAAAAAGTTTGGGGACCCCTGGTCTAGTACCACCTAAAAAAATATGATTTGTGGACAATTTCACATACAAATGCATAATAAAGAGCAACTTTTGAATGGATTTGGATCTTCAAAAAAGTATTTATAATTAAAGGAATAATTAATTAATGATCGAAGACAAGTCTGTCCAAAAGGGACCAGACTTGTCTTCGAGGATTAATAATAATCTAGCCATCGGACGGAAAAATCAAAAATAAAGGAATAATGTTTTAGAAATGAAAGTATAACTATAATCACAAAGTTTGTCATGCATTTTTGTAATAAAAACTGTTTAGAGTTAACATTTTTTAAATTTTGTAGCTTTAATTTAATACTATTGTCACAATTTATCATCAGTCTGGTTTTACCAGTGGTGTAACTACTGTTAAGCTTGGTTAATTGACACCAAAGGGTTCATGACATAAGGGAGCCCATACCAAGTTCTGGGTACTGAGACCTGTATAATAAAAAAAAATATGAGAATTTTTTATTATACAGAGTTATACACTTAAACATATATTCAGGGGCAAAAGAAATCTTTCCAGTATAGGTTAGGCTAGATTAGATTACGTTAGGTTGCGGACTGCAGCAGACACAAATACCACTAGATATTATGCCTCTATGATATGCATCCATTTCACTGCTATATGCAACCAGCACAACATGCAGAGAATGCCATACAGCAGAGTGGTGCATATGATGTTAAATTTACAGTATGATGAACCACAACTTCAGCATATTTTATGGACTGATGGGCACTGTTTTTCCAGAATGGACTGTATCTTTTTCACAATGTGCATCACTGAGAAGAGATGCTCCACAATGCGTGCAAATATGCAAAATTAATTGCATTTTACCCTAAATCTTTGGTGTGGAGTTTGGGTCAGCTTATTGGTCTCTATTCATTGATACTGATCCTGAATTGTGACTAATATCTGAACATCCTAAACATAACAGTGGATGAATGGCTCATTGCCATTGGTACAACTACAGTAGGTTTGATATCAACATGATTGTGTGTCAACTCATTTCTGGTCAAACATGCATCAGTGGCTCGCATAATGGTTTGGCAACCACTGGATAGACCAACATGGCTCTGTTCTGTATCATCCACATTCTTCAGACTTGACCTCTGTTTTTTTTTTCTGTTGGTCACATTAGTTTATATATATCCAGCAGCAGCACATGATATTGGCAAACTAGAAAGACATATGATCGGCCTGTGAAACAGTGACAATAAGTATGCTAAGCGTCATCCATAATGTCATACTCAACTATCTACAGGTTTGTATTGCTACCAAAGGAAGTTGTTTTAAACATGTTTACCAAAGGAAGTTGTTTTGAACATGTCTCACAAAATAAAGCTCACTTTATTGTATCAATTTCTTGCAATGTTGTCTTTATTCTTTACAGTCAGAGATTATTTTATGTTATATTAATTAAATTGTTTTAAATTGATTCCCGTTGGTTGTTTCAGTGTAGAACAAGCATGCACCACAAACATACACTCGTGCATTGCTGGAAAGATCTCTCTTGCCACTAGATAAATATTTAAGTGGACATGCTGTATCAGAAAAATATTAATATTTTTTGTGTTTTTTCTGACTATGGACAATTAACTTTCAGAATGCATTTCAGACGTAATGCATTCTGAAAATAAAATAGTGTTTTTTAAATCTAATTTGATGTCCTGTGGTGGTGTAATAAGTCTAGCAGTTAAGTAAAGCTATTCATAAGACTAGACAAGAAGCGTATCATAGTATTCAACTCTAAACTGGTCAACACAGCTTTGCTTTTACAGTAGCACATTTTTGGTACAATAATACCTTGACTTACACGAACCCGGAGTTACGCGATTTTCAAATCTCTTCAATTCGTCTTTTGTTTGAGCGCCACACAACTCTTGATTACTCACTCCCCCCCACACTATTGTTCGGCTTACATGTTTGTGGAATCGACATATACCTACAATTTATTTTGTTTTTTTTATTTCTGTGTTTGTCATATCTACGGAGACTTGAGAGACTCTACTATGTCATCTAAACAAAGTAGAACTGATTTCTTCTGCATCAAACAAGAAAATAAAAACTTTATCTTTGGAATGTAAAGTTAACATTATTAAAGACTTTGACACAAAAATGAAAATTTGTGAATTGGCAAAGAAGTTTGATCTACCAGAATCGACAGTCAAAACAATTATAAAAGGTAAAGAAAAAATTCTCAAAGCTGTAAAAAATGCTCAATCTTTAAATTCAAGCATAATTCGTAAATGTCACAGTATTATCCCTGAGATGGAAACAATGTTAAAATTATGGTGTGATAATTGAGTAAATGTGAAAAATTGTATAATAATATAATTTGTCATACATATATGTTATCTAAGATTTTATTAAACATTTTTTTCTAAATTATTGTNTTTCAGTGTAGAACAAGCATGCACCACAAACATACACTCGTGCATTGCTGGAAAGATCTCTCTTGCCACTAGATAAATATTTAAGTGGACATGCTGTATCAGAAAAATATTAATATTTTTTGTGTTTTTTCTGACTATGGACAATTAACTTTCAGAATGCATTTCAGACGTAATGCATTCTGAAAATAAAATAGTGTTTTTTAAATCTAATTTGACGTCCTGTGGTGGTGTAATAAGTCTAGCAGTTAAGTAAAGCTATTCATAAGACTAGACAAGAAGCGTATCATAGTATTCAACTCTAAACTGGTCAACACAGCTTTGCTTTTACAGTAGCACATTTTTGGTACAATAATACCTTGACTTACACGAACCCGGAGTTACGCGATTTTCAAATCTCTTCAATTCGTCTTTTGTTTGAGCGCCACACAACTCTTGATTACTCACTCCCCCCCACACTATTGTTCGGCTTACATGTTTGCGGAATCGACATATACCTACAATTTATTTTGTTTTTTTTATTTCTGTGTTTGTCATATCTACGGAGACTTGAGAGACTCTACTATGTCATCTAAACAAAGTAGAACTGATTTCTTCTGCATCAAACAAGAAAATAAAAACTTTA